AAGTATTGCTTTGTTTTTAATAATGATTACAAGGTAGAATGCATGAATGAATTGGAGGTCTGATTTCTTCTGCCTGCTTGCCTCAGAAAGCTCCTTGCTTCTTGTCTGTTATGTAGTGACCAATGCTTTCTACAGTAAGAGGTGTCTTTCTCTCTCTCTTTTTTTTTTTTTTTTTCGTTTTATCTAAGCAGCCTTCATATGTTCTATGTGGCACTAAAAAGTAAAGTAAAAAAGAGAAAAGCATCTCTTGGCTAATTCCAAGAGACAACGTGTTGCTGCTACCAGAATAAAAAGTTGCAAAATGTAATTATGCTGTTATTTTACATGCTACATATATTAATAACTTTTAAAAATACATTTTCAAGAAACAGCAGAAGCACATGTTCTCTTCAGCTTCATAAAAGAGAGTGCACAATCAGGAGCTTTGCATGATAAAATGGAGGAGCAGTCAAAAGAATCCATTAACCGTAAGCGTGAATCCAAACACTGATTTTATTTTACCTAACTATATAGTGTAGTTTCATAGTGCAGCTGAAATACCAAGTTCTTGCTCTGTGTGTTCATAGAAACAAAACTAAGGTATAGCCAGGCTGGATAAAGTCTGGACTATTGTTACTGGGGCTACTGTTTATATTATCAGTTATGTATCTTCAGGGATGGTGACTATGCCAACTTGCAGCCTGTCTGGCATGTTCTTTCTGTCTTGAATAAGCATGAAAAATGGAGAGGGAAAGTTTTTGTCAAAACCACATTTTTGGGGGATACAAAGATTAAACATTATATGTTTTCCTGATTTGAGTCCCCTTTTGTTTTATTTTTTTGTCCCCAAATGATAAGCCTGCTTCAAAAGGAAGGTGTGTGGGGCTTTTCTGGTGCTTTAGATCAAATACTCTCCTTTGTATTACCTTAAGATCCTTTTTTTTTCCCCCCCTCTTCTGTGTTGTTTCTTTCTCAGATTCACTTAACATGTCTTTTAAACTTTTAGTGGAGACTATAGCTGATGTTTATACTGTGGAACAGCTGAAAGAAAAAGCTTTACAGAGTGATGGGAAACTTGAACCAGTTTATGGCATTATTTATGGCTACATTTCTACACTGGACATTGATGGTAACGCATCTAAAGTTATTCGCAACAGATGGTAAGCAACTGCCTGTTTTAAATTTGTATTAAAAAGTGCTTGTCCTTCTTCCCCTGACCCAAATTAGACAGAACAATATTTTAGTTCAGTTCCAGACAAGAAATAAAAGTCCTCTGGAGGTTGCCATATGTATTTCTGTTGTGTAGACTTCCAGAAGTAGCAAGGAAGAGGAGCTGGCTTTATGAAGGACTTGCTCTTTCTGGTCCTAGAAGAGAGAAGAAAGAGGCTGTTTTGTCTCAGACAGACTTAAGAGTTTAGAAGATGAAGAATTTTTTTAAAGATGAAAAGTCTCTTGGGAAATCTTAGTCTAGAAAACAGTTTCAAACAAGGAAGAATTGCATATATGCATTAATTATCTTCTTATGTTTCAGTTCAATATGCCGTTTTATAGTGAATGAAATGTCAAACACATGCACTTTCTGCAGTGACGTCTCTTCAGATTCAAAGTCAACTTTTGCAAGCTTTGACATACTCGTTGATCTGACAGATCACACAGGCACTCTTTATTCTTGTTACCTGTCTGACTGTGTAGCTGAGGAAACTTTAGGCTGCACAGTAAGTAGAAATAAATTAGGTTGTTCTTATTTGATCTGAGTTGTGAAGCTTGATGAAAATGACAAATATATGTAAATGTTGTTTGTGTGTGAGTGTATGCTGGTTAAAAAAATTGCATATGGCTATGGATGCGCACACACACACACACACAGAGCTTTTTAACAAGCCAAAAGTTAGAAGTCAGTTGCTGCTAGTAGGAAGAAACATGTTAAATGTAAAAGTGAATACCCTATTCAGAAAACCACTTTCTTTTAATTAATTTACACTTTTCTGAGAATTTGGTTTCAATTCGTTAATTTTGATTCTCAAACACCCTGCAGTTTATTCTGATTAATCTGACTGTCTTGGTACATATATTACACCAAGCACTATGTTAAAAGAAGGAAAATACAGCTTAGAAGAGTATATAAAAAAAAGCATAAGATGGTCTTTTAATCATCATTTTGTTGTGAAGATGTTGTTATAACTATATGCTGAAGAAGTGTTCTGTTATGTCCTGTTGTTAACAGGTCCATGAGTTCCTCACTCTAACAGAAGACAAGAAGACTGCATTGAAATGGCAACTTCTTTTGGAAAAAAGCAAGATTTATTTTAAAGTTAGTATTTAATGTTAATTTGAAACAGTGGCTGTTTCCCATTCGGTAGTATATTTAGTACTGAAAAATTCCATGTCAGTTCTGCTGAACTTTTAAAAATAAGGATTTGGTTTTGTACATACTCTGAATATTCCAAGTAAATAGTCTTTGTCATAATTTCAACATTAGGGGATGGCTCTGCAGGGTCAGATATACAGGCCTCTTTCAGGCAAACTGTGAAAGATACAAGCTGCTCTTAGCCAATACTGACTAAGGAGCTGGTATTTCAAAACCACGTATACATGATTTAGTCGCTGACTTCTATGGCTGTAGGTTTATAATGAATAAAGTTAACACTATCAGTTTGCAAGAATAAGGCCCAGTCAACGTATGTAATAGATTATATGGTATATGGGGTTAACTAACTATATTTTTTAGTTATTTGTAGTTTTGGAAATAATGTTATTAGGCATGTCAAAAATCTGCAATTCTCCTTAAAGCAACAACAATATTAGATTCACACACCTGGAAGAATTGTTAAAAGATCTGCTATTACTTGCAATATTCCTTACTTTGTTCATTGCATGCTGTATACTGGACTGGATTCCCTTTTCATGCCCATTCTAGGACAACTCTAAAATGACTCCCTTTTTAAAACTTGCCCTTCTTAGCCAAACTGTTCTTACTCTCCTGTCTCACTCACCCTCTGCCTCTATTTCCAAGAAAACTGAAAGCGTTTTACTTCAGTAGTGAGAGGTATATAGCATAATATGCGTGTACTCATACATAAAATAATGTAAAATATGTATAACCGAATCTGTCAATTAAACATTCTGTGTGATATTTGAAAATCATATAATTCAAAGTGCTATACAGCAGTAAAACCAAAGACGCTTAATTATTTTTACAGGTTACTTTGTCACCCAGTTGGAGAACCAGACTGAAAGTGAATGTTCTTTCATGCAAACTGGCAGACCCTGCAGAGGCCAGTCAGAGCTGGTTGGGAAAAGAGACTGGAAATAAGAGATTACGCTATTAATAACAGCCAGGAAAAGGACTTTCTTCACTGTATTATTAGAGGTAGAATGCTGTTGTCATTATATTTTACTAAGTATGTTCCGATGGTAAAGCAGGGATGTGCATTACTAATAACTGTAAGTGGGTTGATCTTTTTCAGGTGATTGTACTTTAAAAAGCATACTAGGGCCTCAGCTTAAGAAAAGTTAGTTCTACTGAATTCAACCCCTTACAAAGGGGTTGGAAGGTTTCTTCACTCAGTTTAGAATATATTTGAAAAGAACAAATAGTATAAGACAGATCTGTTGAGCTTCTGTGCTTTTAACTGCCTCGCTACTTTCGTGCTACTTTTCGTGTTTGTTCAAAAAATAAAGACCGACTTCGAAATACTGCTTGGGTTTGTGGTGTATGCTGGTGAGTCCAAACATGGAACTTTTGGCAACTGCAGAGACTTGGAAATAGCCATGATGTTTGCAAGGCTGCTTTTCTCTAGGGCAGAATAAGTCTTATTAGAACGGAATAATCAATTACCAGGGACCTCTCCCAACGAAACAATCAAGCCAAGACTATAGGCGGCAGAGAAGAAAGGACTCTTCTTCACCACGATAGTTGTTGTTAGCTGAACATAAAGAACCCAGGTACGTACATTTTTCCCTTCTCCGTGTATTTTGTCCTATTTTGAAATCTATTTCTCTCCTTAGCTTCCCTTGCAGCTGATATGTTTGCCGCATTCACCAGCGCTCACCTTCTGAGCATATTGGGAGTTGACCTATTTCAAACGGTGGGAAGATACCACGGCCCTTCTCTTGCAAAGTATTTGTTAGGCTACAACCCCTTGAGGAACTCAGATAACCCCTGGTTCGCTACCTACCTGTTAAAGCAGTGAGAAAACAACTACAGAAACAGTGAATTTTGACAAGCCAGTACTCCAAGACTGCATCCCCCTTCTCAAGTGAGTGGCAACAAGGGACTAAAGGCACAAAAAAATGTTGCCAGTGTTGGTTCACTGTGTCTCTCTTGTTGCAGCAATAAACAACATCAGAGTATTAGCTGTTATGGCTGGAAAATGTTGAAGTGAATGTTTCCATTAATTGTAATCACAACTCAGCTCGGCAATCAATACACAGTGCTAAAGACCAAACCACAAATGATGCATTGTAGCTCTTGCCATAGACGGTAATGTTTGACAGGCACAAAGAAATGGAAACAGTACAGACAGTGAATGCAATCTTTCCTCTTTCAGAATTACTCACCCTAACTTCCCTGCTCAGCCCAGATCTGTTGGCCTCACATCTCCACCTGGCCCGGCGGAGTGGAGTTGCAACAAATTCGGAGCACAGCTTCCCTGCTGACAGAGGCAGGCTTAAATCAAGGAGCATTTTGACTTCTATGAGCCAGGGGCTGGTTCTGTGCAGATATAATGGCTAAATGTTTGTTTCAGTTAGCCTCTGTTTCTTGGGCTTCCTTCACATGAAATCTGAATTATGCCCACAGCATTTAGGCCTCATCATACAAAGAACTTTTACGTGTGCTTTACGTCAAGCCAAAACACAGTGAAATGAAATGTGTGCATGTTTGCAGGATTGGTACCCGGTGCAGGTGGTGTACGGGTGCGCAGTGGTGTGCTGCAGATGCATGCAGCTGGAGAAGCAAGTTGATAGAGAAATGTCTATTTTTCTTCTGCAACATGTTCTGCTTTCTTTTCACCGTATGATTCGCAGTATCCCGGCCTGTGCTGCTCTGTCAGAGAAGTGCCTCTCTTTGGGCTACACTAATTTTCTCTGTAAGACTCTCCAAATGCACTTTTTAAAACAAAACTTTTCCTTGTGGTTATTAAGATCTGGCTCCAATAAATGGAAGCATTTAACTTTGGTGCTTGCACGTCTGTAAAAAAATAATCCATCTGGTTTTGTTAGAAATTAGACAGTTCTGTGCAACCTTCGAAATTGTAAGTTTTGATGTTTGGGGGGGGTGTTTAAAGTATATTTTACAACTTTCTCACTCCATTGAATTGAAAGAGAACTCGCTGTCATGCACACTGGTAGAGAGTGTTACATCAGCTGGAGTTTGGAAACGGGAAAAGTCACACAGCATGGCTTTCCAACAGCTGGAAATAGTTAAAAACTCCAACTGTTGTATTGCGTTGTATAAGTAATGGCAATTGCTCCAGTTAGTTTTTTATTAAAAATATATTTAAATCAGTAAAAGTAAAGACAAGTTTACTGGTGATCTTTACCAATGAGCTTCTTTATTCTTGATCTTTCATATTATTTTACTTTTAGAAGCACATTTAAAGCTCAGTTTAGGAAAAAAAAAATCTGCCAAGCATCTGGCACGCTTCCTGCTGCATTATGCCCCTCGGAGTGGGAGGGAAAGCAATCCCCATTTAATTTGTACATTTGAAAAATGCATGGAGGAATCGTGAAACTAATAAAAAAAGCAAACAGCTTTCTACTGTAGAATACCCCAAGGACAGAAATGCTTTCTGAAGCTGTGATTCTTGATTTACTGTTATGCACACGTCTTTGATTTCACATAGCATGGGTGAGCTTTAGCTCCTACATCACAATTTTAATGGTTTAATTTTTTAATTTTTGTTTTAAGGCAAAGCTCAGAGCATCAGTAGAACAGAAGAGCACACACAGTGACAGCCAGCCCAGCTCCCCTCCCCAGCTGTCCAGCACACCATCTCCACCAACAGTTCCAAGGTACGGTTTGGGTATTAACCATCTGCCCCAAGCTGGGCTGGACTCCAGGTTCACGGCCTCAGAGGAGGCTGAAGCCTCCATGGAAACGGGGCTGTTTTAGTCAAATGTCTTTTGAGCTCATCGGTTATGTGTCTTTGATGTGCGACCGTCCATCAGACGCTTGGGCCATGTACGTGTTTAACGTGCAGGACAGCTTGTGTGTCTCTTTGTTCCCCAGATGTTCCCAAAAGAGCCTCTTC